TAAAAAGCGCATGCTACTTGGTATGACTCACCCTCTTGCTAAAGAAGAATATATGTGCATATTGTTATGACGCGCCACATCCAAGGAGGTGTCGTGGTGCATGCTATTTGCAGATGATATTGTATTGATTGATGAGACGCGAGACAGTGCGAACGCGCAATTAGAGGTAAGAAGGCAGACCCTGGAATCTAAAGATTTCAAATTGAGCAGGACCAAGACAGAATACTTAAAGTGTAAGTTCAGTGCTGAGACTCAAGGAGGGGAACAAGGGCAGACCCAGGTGTTATTAATAATGTGCGTATTATTTAAATTTATGGAAAATGCATATAAAGAAACCATTTGAACCCACTTGATGCATTCTTGCCCTGTGTAAATGTGGTCATGCGTGTTCAAATCCTACTTGTCGTGCCCCACAAACTGCTTACTGAACCCGCTTGCATAAAATTCTGGGTCTGTCACTGGAGGGGAAGGGGATGTGAGGCTGGACTCGCAAGTCATCCCTAGGAGAGGGAGTTTTAAGTACCTTGGGTCTATTATTCAGGGGGATGGGGAGATTAATGAAGATGTTACACATCGTATTGGGGCGGGATGGATGAAATGGAGACTCGCTTCCAATGTTTTGTGTGACAAGAAGGTGCCACCAAAACTTAAGGGTAAGTTCTACAGAGTGGTGGTCAGATCAACGATATTGTATGGGGTGGAGTATTGGCCAGTCAAGATCGCTCATGTCCAGAAGATGAAGGTAGCAGAGATGAGGATGTTGCGATAGATGTGCGGGCACACCAGTTTATATAGGATCAGAAATGAGGTTATTCGCGACAAGGTAGGTGTGGCCTCTATTGAGGACAAGATTCGAGAAGCGCGGCTTAGGTAGTTTGGGCATGTGATGAGGAGGAGCATAGACACCCCGGTGAAAAGGTGTGAGAGGTTGACATTGGAGGGACTACAGAGAGGTAGAGGTAGGCCAAATAAGAGGTGGGAAAAGGTGATTAGGCAAGACATGGCGCAACTTCAGCTGACCGAGGACATGACTCTTCATAGGAAGGTATGGAGGTCGAGGATTAGGGTAGTAGAGGAGGTAGTATAGAATGTTCATAACAGTAGTATTGGTACGCAATCTCGCTTTCTGTTGGCAGTAAGATTTTATGACTAATCATTGTTTTCTTTCATTTTCAATGCTATCGATGTCCGTTTGAGATTTCTGAGTCTCAGAATAGCTCTGTATGGTGATTCTGGTGTTGGGAGCGCATCCGGATGTGGATTTGGATGTCCGTAGGTCATTTCGGGGTCATTTGGCAAAAGTTGGAACTTTGAAGGGTTTTGAGAAGTTTGACCGGAAGTGGACTTTTTGATATCGGGGTCGGATTCCGATTTTGGAAGTTGGAGTAGGTCCGTAATGTCAATTATGACTTGTGCGCAAAATTTGAGGTCAATCGGAAGTGATTTGATAGGTTTCGGCATCGATTGTAGAAGTTGAAGTTTCAAAGTTCACTTAGTTTGAATTGGAGGGTGATTCGTGTTTTTAGCTTTATTTGATGTGATTTAAAGGCTCGACTAAGTTCTTGACGTGTTTTGGGACGTGTTGGTATATTTGGTTGAGCTCCCGAGGACCTCGGGTAGATTCCGGATGGTTAACGGATCGAGTTTGGACTTGGATGAAATGTTGAGGCAGCTGAGACCTGGTGCAATCGCACCTGTGTGAAAAGGGCCGCAGGTGCGAGCCACGAGTCGCAGGTGCAAAGGAGAGGAGGCTGGTCAGCAACTGCAGGTGCGGAACATTAGGGTGCACCTGCAAAGGCGCAGGTGTGAAGTGGGTAACGCAGGAGCAGGTGATGGGCGCAGGTGCAACGCATGGACCATAGAAGCGGACGCGTAGATGCGCTACATGGAGCGCAGATGCGGGAGCGTTGGGCTGAGCTTGAACCACACCTGCGATAGAATTTTCGTAGGTGCGGATCTGCAGAAGCGGCTATTGCACCGCATGTGCGAGGATCACTGGGCAGTGAGGTTTTATAAAACGGGGGTTTGGCTCATTTTCACTTCATTTCGTCCATGGGAGCCGATTTTGGAGCACTTTTGGAGTGCCATCTTCATCAACTATAATGGGATAAGTGATATTTTCACATTTTGAGTTAAATACATGATTTTTACATGGATTCAAGCATGAAAATTTGTAGAAATTTGGGATTTAAAAAACCTAAAAATTGGTATTCTTGGAATTTGATCACGAATTTGGGCATGAAATTGAGAATAAATTATATGTTGGAGTTCGTAATGCTATGGGTAGTATTTATCTTCAAATATTTTCGGAATCCGGGCACGTGGGCCGAGGGTTGCTTTATCGATTTTTCGAGTGGGGTTGAAAATTATTATAAATTGATTAATTATGAGTATTAGAGTATATTTTGATTGGATTGCATCTTATTTGACTAGTTTTGGATCGGCGGTCATTGATTTGAGGTGTTAGGGCGGCGTTGGAGCCGGTTATGGAACTTCGGAGTAAGTTAAGTCTCTTGTCTAACTCTATAAGGGGAAAAACTACCCCTAGGTGATGTATTTAATGTGTGCAACTTGTTCGGGGACTACGTACGCACGAGGTGACGAGAGTCCGTACGTAGTTAGATTCATGATATTGTCCGGGTAGACTTAGGTTCATACCATGTTGTACTTGTACTATAGGGATTATCCTTGCTTGTTTAATTCCTTATTTTATATTTCTACTTGAGACTAGACTTGCTATTGTAGAGACTTTACGATTTCACGATTTGTCACCGAATAACTTCACTCCTCCTACGGCATGTTTCCGTGATATATATATACTTCATTGAAAGATTTTTGTTAAAAAAATTACAACTCACACATTTATTCGTGAGTGGGGTCAAGGATCCGTCAAAGCTTCTTATTCTAATGGGATCGGGTCGTTTGCCTCGGCAGGAATTTGTATTTTACTCTTATGGGATCGGGTCGTTCACCTCGGCAGGATTTATGTACCACACTCTCATGGGAGCGGGTCGTTCGCCTCAGCGGGTTAATTAATTTATCATATAGTTCGGGTTGTTCGACCCTCGACAGTGTACAGTTTTATTATTATGTTGGATCGGGGCGTACGCCTTGGCAGTTCCTATATCTCATTCCCATGAAATCGTGCGTAAAACCTTGGCAAGAAGCTAGTGTATCTGTAAATCCCAGATTTGAATTATGGTAGCCACTTGATGAGTTTCACTATAACTATATATATGCTCCGGTTAAGGAGGGAATTTCTAATAAAGAGCTTGAGTTCCTCATAAAGAGAGGGGATTTGTACCACGTGATCTATATTTTTCTATTTCACTTACTTACTCTGCCTCATATTTGCTACCTCTTTATTGTACCTTATGTTGTTGGACCACTAGTGAGTATCGATGTCGACCCTTCATCACTACTTCTCTGGGGTTAAGCTATATACTTACTTGGTACACGTTGCTTACGTACCCATGTTACACTTGCTACATATTTTTTGTGCAAGTACATATGTGACTAGTGGCCTTGAGAGAGCAGAGGCGTGTATGCATACGGGGACTTACGTGAGCTGCATTCCACGTTACGACCCGCAGCCGGCAGAGTCTCCTTCAAAGTATTTATATTTCTCCTGTCCAAATTTGTATTCCGGACAGATGCTGTATTTTATTTTACATTCCTAGTTGATGCTCATGCACTTGTGATACTAGGTTTTGGGGTGACTATGAGTTATTTTATATTAAAATTTGTTAAAAATATTATCATTTACTCTGTAATATTCATCTTTTACTGTTTAATGGAAGGAAAAATATGATTTCAAAATATTAAAACGAGAACCAAATTGAGTATTTATGGTTGGCTTGCCTGACAGCGGTGTCCGGCGCCATCACGACCTTTAATAGATTTTGGGTCGTGACAACATGGTATTAGAGCGCTAGGTTCACTTAGGTCTCACGAGTCATGAGCGAGTCTATTAGAGTCTTGTGTATCGGTACGGAGACGTCTGTACTTATCTTCGAGAGGCTACAAAGCTGTTAGGAGCACTTCCCTTCTTGATTCCTCATCATGCGAATTGATTCTTTTGAGGCTTCTACATTTATTTCTTTTCTATTCAATCTTATGCGACGTGAAGCGCTTGTTATAGATTGGGAATCAAGGAATTGTTATGGTACTACGGAGGTGGTGCATGATGTCTCTGCCTGCGTGTTTGATTGGGCTATTACCGTCGCCTTGCGGAAGGTCATCCTGTCGTTTCAGCTCAGCATCAGTATTTCCTATGATTTTGAGATTTGGCATTAATTGTTGTGACAATTCGTGTATTGCTATCGCACAGTATTTGTGTAATGGTGGGATGCTTGCCTATGCGTCGAGGCAGCGAATAACCTTACTATCTTATTATTTTTATTATGCTTTTATATGACTTTTTGGTACTGTCCCTTCTTGTCTATATTTTTATTAATGGGGTGCTTATACTTTCCTGAGCCGAGGGTCTATTAGAAATAGCATCTCTATCCTCACAAGGTAGGGGTAGTGTCTGCGTACATACTACCCTCCCCAGACCCCACGGTGTGACTTGTGAGATATTACTAGGTATATTGTTGTTGTATTGAGGTTCCCTTTAATCATGTTCTTTTCAATTAGATTCATAGATACGTCTAATTGATAAATTGAACTCCTAATAGTTTAAGATTTTTATATATGTTATATGATTGTTGAGAAAAAGAATAAGAGAAAATGACAAAGAAATTGAGATTGAATCCAAAGAGGTGACAAGTTGAAACTTGGAAAAACAAACATAAGTACACTAAAAAAAAAAAAAAACCTAAA